TTTACTGCATACTTAGGATAAAGGAACGGCCACTAATAAAATACTGGGGCAAAACGAGGAAGATTGTTCATCATCCATAAACCTTCTTGCGAATTGCTCCCGCGTCCTTTATAAATTCACATCAATAAAAGCCAAGGGTCATTAGATAACAGCAAGGGAAGATAGGGAGAAGGAGAAAATGGAAGAGGAGCAACCAAAGGGCGAGAGCACCGGAGAAGGGAATCAAGCAATGGTGAGATGAAAAAGGGAAAGTAAGCATAAAAACGCATAAAAAGTCGCTATCTTAATTAGATACTTAAAGATAAGCGCAACTACATTTAATCTTTTTTTCACCTATAAACTGTTCGTTTTAGTTAATCAAGGAAGCCTAGAGACCAAAATTTCCAAAGTTAACTAGAACTAGATATTTGCCAACTTAGAGTTCCGACGATTAAGGCGATTTAACAAAAGGCGTACATGCTAGTCTCATTTCTGACAATCTGAAAGGAGCATAGAAACAGAGCTTCATGCGTGTGGGACTCTTTTTCATAAGATTCACATTTGTTGTGTGAAGCTGGCTCACTGCTAAATAAACGAAGAGGAATTTGTTTTAATTTAAAATTATGAGACAAATTATCATTGAAAGAAGATAGATAATAAAATATTTTTTTCACAAAGGATGGCCTGGCGACATATTTGTAATTAAGTATCAGATGCAGTTCGTGCTTTGGAATTTTATGATTATGGCATTTAAAATCTTGACTGGGATGAGAGAGGTTAACATGAACTAGCCAAACACTTTCAGTTTTAATGTGTTTTCATTTAGAGAAAGATCAAACTTCATGCCAAAAAGTTGCAAACTTTTCGGTAATCAAAGCATTATTGCCGTCTTAGGCAAAAAGAATGGGTAGTTGTATTCGATGTTGTTTCTTACGAGCCATCAAAGGTTACCAGATCACATTTTTGTGACCTTTTGTCTGTGTCGAGTCTATTTCTGTACTTGTGCGAAAAGCATTGTTGATTATTTTAACATCTTCCTCTCTCTTCCACAAAGCAATATGTTCTCTGCCTGCCAAACGAGGCGATTGCTTGCTGAGCCGGGAAATGTGGTATTTTGACACAAGACGGGGAATTTGTGACCGCTTCTTCTATTCCGGCTGCGGAGGCAATTCAAATCGTTTCAGCACTAAACATCGTTGTCAGGCGAGATGTCAACTTTCGTTACTGTCCAAGCAGAATTCAACCTCCCTGGAACTGCTAACGTCGCCCGACGCAACTGTGCCGAGCGTTCGTTGGGAGATGACTTGGGCTGATCTACTCAGAGATGCTCCTGACAACGTAGGAAATGATCAGCTGACCAGAGAGACTTCAGAGGAGCAGACCAACGAGGCAGGGAGTATAGCGTCTTCCTTGATCGAGTTGGAAGGTGTAAATGAGCCGTTTGAGCCGAGAATTATAAGTGAGTCGATCCCTCATCCACCCAACCTGGCATTCCGTTATACCAGACTTCATTTTTACAATCCCCTGCAGCCTGGTTTCATGTCTTGTGCACGTGCAATGCTCATTATTCAGTCGAGATGTAAGCTGCCTATTTAGACTCTAGGTTCATCTGTACCCCTCCTGAACTCTTCCTAACTCATATCAGCAGCCAAAGGTGGTCGTTGCCAACTTATCTACATTTTTGGTCTCAGACCAACCAATCTAGTATGATGTAATGCCCACTTCATGTTTATAGACCCACGAACCTTGGCAAATGCTTCGCATGCCTCCACATGAGCTAGCACACGAATAAAACACACTTAGCAACCGGTTCCTGAGAGGGCATACAAACGAAAGTATTAGTCTCTCCTTAAACAGGCTTCACTTCATTTTCGCCACTCGAAGGACTAACCCTTGTTGGTGTCTTCTGTCATAGGGTTCATTATGCTTTCCTGTTTCAGACAATGGATTTGGTACACTCGAGATATCTTCAGTGAGACTCAACACTCTTGGCACCAAACTACAACTCAATGAGGAGACGAACCAAGTCAAAGAATGTGTCCAAGTCTACGATTTAATGCTAAAAGCATTATGATTATTGTAACAAATGATGCCTGAAAAAATATTTGCTTTAAGATCTCTCTGAAAGTACAATTTGCGAAAACGAAGTTAAACTGGTTTTACGCAGAGAAAGGCCTTTTTCCGAATTGCCAAATGATCTATCACTCATTTATCTGACCATGATCAGTGGTATCCCTTAAAAGACTCTCGGTCTACAAGCTATTAGAATGTAACTATGCATTATAATTAGTAGGGGAACATACTAAAGGTGCCCGATGGTTGTCACTACTTAGATTCGGAAAATACTTACTAAATATAAGTAATAAGATGTATTCACCCAATTTCGTTTAAGGTGATGAAGAACTGGTAGAAGTATAATTTTCCCACAAATGATATGAGTCATCGACAATTCCACATTAAAGCATATGATATAGCAAAAAGGCCTGGCCTTCCTTGAAAATTCACATTTGCCTTGTA